TCGGATTTAAAACCATATTCATGTGATTTATGTTCAAAAACATTTAGTCATTCATTATCACTTGCACAACATCGAACAACTCATACACAAGAACGTTGTTTTCAATGTAAAACATGTGGAAAATGTTTTAAACGTTCATCAACATTATCAACACATTTATTAATACATTCTGATACTCGACCATATTCATGTATACATTGTGGTAAACGTTTTCATCAAAAATCTGATATGAAAAAACATACATATATTCATACGGGTACATTTTCTTCATCTAGTTTTTTCCTTTCTTTCTAAAGATGATGAACATTTCGTGTATTAACCAAATGTCAAAGAATCTCCCTTGAGATACAATGACGATAGCCATTTTAAACATTGATAGAAAGTTCTTGTTAAATATGCATGTTTGAAGATGGAAGACGAATAGTTAAAATGTCTTACGCGTTATTTTCACACATTAGTTTTTTTTTCTCTTCTTATGACAGATTCAGTCAACGAGTTTTTTTTGTCTTTTTTGGATAGATTCAATTCACTTTATATTTTTTTATTCTCATGAGATGATCGAGCGGATCCTGATAAGACTTATCATTTTTTTTTTTTTGTTCTTCTTTTGTCTATTTGTATTCATCCGTAAACAATTAGAATTGAAATAACAAGGGAAATTGAAATATTTTCTTTTTTTTTTCATTTTAGGAGAAAAACCTCATAAATGTATTGTTTGTGGTAAGGCTTTTTCTCAATCATCAAATTTGATTACACATAGTCGTAAGCATACGGGTTTTAAACCATTTCAATGTCATAAATGTTTACGTGCATTTCAACGTAAAGTTGATTTACGTCGTCATATTGATACACAACATGGTGCCGAGCATCTTCATGAAAATTTATCTTTAAAACCAACACATCATCATTTACATCAAAACAGTAATCAAAATGAAATAAATGAATCAAGAAGTAATAATGGAAAATATGGACCAATTGGTTCATTGATTCAAGAACTTGCTGCTCGACACTGAACAATGAAAACAACAACAACAAACTACTGCTAACATTGAACTTTGCATGATTATTAGTATTTTTTTTTTGTCCTCCTGTTTCTTCTTTCTGTATAAAACGATGATCCATATGTTTAGGGTGTCAAATTGAGAAAGAGAAAGAGAGGCGGTGACGAAAGAAAGTGTGAGCAACCATCTGGATAGGATGCGTATATACATATATATATATATATTAGAGGATAAAAAAAGAAAAATCTTGATTGAGAATTGCAGACAATAGGTGTGTGTGTGTGTGCTAGGTACTGTTTTATTATGCATCACAAATCTAACAGGAGAAGATTATTAATCTCACATCGATTCTGTGACTAGAACTCATTTTTTTTTCACAATAACAAGAACAGATCTATTAATCACAGGACAATCTACAACTGCTTTTCTTGACAATTCTTTGTTTTGTTTTTATTTTAATGTTTGGTGTTCATTTTTGTGTAGATGATCATCTTCTTCCTCTTTCTCCTCCTCCTCCCTTTCCCCATAATGATAATCTCTTATGTCAAATGAAAAATAAATAAATGCTTGCGGCTTAATATCTCTGAGTTGTTCGTATCGCGGCTTGAAATCAAAAGATTACTCTCATGCTGCTTCTTCTTCGTTATGTTTTTTTCCTCGGCAGGTGTTGAACGCGTGTATGTGCAATGATCATCACTATCCTTACAATATGGTGAATTGTTACTGATCGAATCGTCAAAGTTGACAAGTTGTCTTTAACCCTTAAGGCAAAAAAAAGTGATCAGACAAAAAAAAAAAGAAAACGAGAAGAAGCAACATAGGACAAAATATACAAAAAAAAAATGAAATACAGAATGCCAGTTGGTCTATATATTGCTTCCGGGAGAGAAAAAGAAACCTTTCTTGTGAATTTACGATTGAATTAGCAAAATGACAATTAAAAATAATCTATGTATATCAAATATTTCTTTTTTTCCCTTCTGATAAGTCTCAATATATATATAATATATGTGTGTATGATAACATTGATCAATAAGTCAATATTTGATCCTTCGTATAACGTAATAACATATATATCCACTCGAGAGAAAAAAAAATTGCAGGCGAATAAATGCGATGAAAAAATCTACACATTTGCGAACTCATCTTTCATCATTCGTTCGATTATAGAAAGCAATCATCAACGATTTGAGTCCCATGTGTATGTCGAACAGCAAACGTTTTTTGCCACTTATTACTATTACTAATGCTTGCAATAGAAAATCATCTTGACGATGGAATATGTCATATAAGAAGTCAGAATGTGATGGTACGACAGTTGATGTCGAGAGATGGAACCATCAGTGATTAAGTTAATCAGACGCGTAATAAAACACGATGATTACATTTTCTCGTCGACATAATGATAAAAATTATCTTTATAAAAGAAAAATACTTATCCAATCTATTGCACTTAGTTATTTTTAAAAAGCAAAAAATTTTAAATATACGTAGATTCTAAATTAAAAGTTTGATAAATCATCAATTGAAATTGTACTATTTTATTTTCTCATAGCTAGTAACAATCAGTATGCATCAGACACTTACAACAGTCTGACCAAAAGTTCTGATAACGATGCTCACAATTCTATAAAGCAGTTAACATTGAAGAGTCTGTGTCTGTTGCATGAATAAATAATAGAATATCTTATCTATAATAGCTCTATTTTGGATGTCTTTCTGTTTGAAAATATAGAACAAGAAGAGACACTGTTGGAACTTTTGAAAAATGTTCACCTATGGAAGATGTCCTATATTTTACTATAAAATGAAGTAAACTTTAAGAAGATGAGCTTCTTTGTTAGTTATAAAGTAGTTAGAGATCACTTTCTCTTTTATTCAGCTTCTTTTATGCAAATTTATTTGAATCGAACACTATAGCTGTTTATTTTTGAATCAATATAAACATCAATTAGTTTGATTCTTAATTCACTAAATAATTTATGCAATCTGACAATCACTCGTTGATATTACATGTCAAATCGTTGGTTCAGCTTAAAAAAATTTTCGTGCTATTTTATGGTATAAGTTGCTACTCTGGTAGATTCAATAGTCTGATATTTTCCCTACAACCATGACTTGGTGTAGCGCTAGAAATAAGACCAATCTGAAGCAGAGTTCTTGTGTTCTACAGACACACTTACTAACTACAAGAGCAGGTGTATATCACAACGTAGTCAGCATACTATCGTACGCATAAACCGAGACAAACAGTCGTTAGTGACTTGTCTAGGACCAATCGATGACTGGTGGTACTGATGTTTGCATACAGTATCTTCTGAATAAGTGTAAAACAACGTAGTAATAAAAAACTTCGAAAGCATTGTAAACGATCGAACCAGGTTCTATGGTTCTCTTCTGAAGATTTCACATTATAATAATTATTACATCTATGAGAGACAAAAACCAAATAGCGTACATTCATTAAGATTTTATTACTTCATGGAAGAAAGCGGAATCTACTAGATATGGGGCCTCTCACCCTGCTTCCAGTAATGAGAATATAAAATTTGTGAAGATTAAAGAGACTAGAATCTTACATTCAGAGTCAACGCAATGTATCGCATATACTCAAGCATTTGTTGAGAAAAGAACCAATTAGATTAGTCTTGTGATTCTACGAGAATTAATTTTTATGCAATGAAATTCTGTTGTTAAATAAGATGATTAATAGTTTAAGTTCTTTTTTTGTAAGAAATCGATGTTGAAGAGTATTCTGATCTGCATAAATCTGTCGAACATCTTCTTACTAAAATAAATCTTGCCTTCAAAATAGCAACTGATGAATAAATGAAAAAAAATTATGATCTATTTCGTATTATTTATGTACATATTCCTGAAACAATATCACCGATTCTTATTATACATCAAGCTTTTTAAAAAGTGAATGTTAAACGAAATATTTGAATGAAAAAATGATGAATTTTTATTTTTATTTATTTTTGTAAAATCCAAATCGAGATCAAAGAGAGATTGTTTTGTAAAAGATGAATCCTCATCTATCAGAAACCAATTCGGTTTTGTTACTTAATAGAAGTGTTCATAGAGGAAAATACATAATTTGTACAACCGTGATGTCTTTTGAATGTAGTAGAAAAGTAAATGTTTGTTAAAGCATTTCAAAAGAAAAAAATACGTGCAGTCGAAATGATAGATTTTTTATTTCAATAGTACACTAAATTTTCTACTACGTAGTTGAAGATCTACAAAAAAAGACACTTAGTAGACATTTTACTGCAATTTCTTAGCCAATCTTCTATTAAAAATTTACAGAAAGAAAGGTCATTAGTAAACTCTTCAATAGGAAACTCAAATTTTATTATGGTTTTTTTACTAGAATAGTAGACAGTATCTATAGACAAAACATAATCAATGAAATCCAAAGAGAATATCTGACATATTTAAAACTAGACAATGAGTTGCGAAGATTTCCAAAGATAACATATATCAGAGGTTGACTTTTATTTTTTTGAATACTATTCAGATAATTTCTCCATTATATACAGATCATTCGTAATAATCTAATTATCTCAAGTTGATATACATATATACAAATATTGAAATATGAGAATAATTTCAAAATAACTGGCAAGGTTTGTAACTGTCACTTCTAATTGTTGGATTTTTTTTTCGAAAACAACTTGTCATATGTAGGGAACTGCAAGATCACTTTTTTTTAGTCCCGGTCCCGGTCTCGGTCAAATTTTTTTCCAGTTCCGGTCCCGGTCCCGGTCCCGGTCTTTGACAATGTTTTCATTTCTAAAAATCGAGCAACTTTTTTTTTACGATTTGAGTACTTTTATGAATACATAAAATTGACATGAATGGTTTTGATTCGTTAACAGTACAAAAATTCTTTTATATCCAGTGTTAAAGCGAAAGAATTTCACTGAAAGCTCGAATAAAAAAAAATAACCATTGAATTTTGTTAAAAATTCTCATATACTTCGTAGCAGTCATTTACTTATTTCTCTCTTCTTTTATATCTACTGCTCTACNAAGACGATTAGCTAATTTAAGTTTAATTTGTTTATCATGATCAGCAATAGAAAACACATGCATAATTTTTTCAGCTGTTTTTGTTAAACTGTCTATTGATGATGCATCAAGAGCATGTAACATTTGATCTAATGTTTCTTTTCGAGCACCAACTGTACACATTGACATAGCAAGAGCAATACTTGCTGGTGAAAGAAATACATTTTGATCTTTGTTATTTTGACTGACAGTCGAATAAACTTTTTGACCAAAATGTTCGAAGTCTGTAGCTGTTGATGATGATGATGAAGCCATGTTTTTCGTATGTATGAGAAAAAAAGAATGAAAGAAACGTCTTTATGTTGCTGCTTTTATACTCTGGTTTTTATTATTATTTATTCTTGTTATGTGTTTGACTCAGCATACAGAGAACCGAATATCAAGGTTTATGTCACTTGTATAAATAACCTAGTGAGTCAGCAATAAAGGATAAGAGAAAAAACCTTCATAACATCAAGAAAATTATTCATTTTAATTCAGCAAAGAAGATAAGAAAGAAAAAGCAACTTGGTTGTTCGACAGATTTTATTTATTTACTGATTAAACCATTTGATACTGAGTTGTAGCTTCAAACTAGATGATTCACATTTGTATGAAGAAATAAATTGCTGTTATACGGCTAAATATCTTTTATCGTTGCATTGCTAAATAATTGTTAATCCGTGGATAGTTCAATGTGGCTATATGGGATTTCTTATAAAAATCCTTCGGTAAGACTAAAGCAGCATATGACACTCAACCTCAAATGTTATATATTTTTTCACCGAATAAAACGGTTTCCCTCAAAGAAATCTGAAAATCTATTATATTTTACTAATAAATTTCCATTAAAAGATTCAGCTGAGAATGACACATAGAAACATGAAGAAAATATTAAGTTATTTAATTTATTATATTTCTATAGAAAGGTTGATGAATTTTTATTAGGAAGATTATTAAGTTCTCTATAGTTCATATTCTACTTAATGAATAAATGCACACATCCAACTATGATTTTATGTCGAAAGAAGATAATTATGCCTGCTGAACGATAAGATGACGATTAAAATTAGTAGTCTGCTCTCTTGCTGTACTTATTTTCTCTCTATGTACTTTGCTGTCAAATGAGAGACATCCTCGGCAAAAACAAGAGAATCCATTTTGACACTATCGATTTTGATGCAATCCAGATTAGGATTTTCCTCAACTATCTTATTCACGAAGGAGGTGGGCTTGACTTGTGTCTCTATTTGTTGATTATTTGGGTGAAAAAATTCCTAATTTTCCATCATTTGAAAATTTTCTTTTTGTAGATGAAAATAAAAAGGTTCTTAGCATGTTCGCAACAATGGATTAGTTTCATAATAATTTCTTGGCTTCTTTTACATCTTTACCAGTCATCTCTTCGTATATAGTGAAATTGAGAAAAGTAGCTTTATGTATGTTATAAATGATAGACATGAATATGTACACAATTACGCTGAAAAACTAGAAATTTGAAACGTTCGATGTCTATTGTTATCTGCGGTCGAAAAATCATGTAATTTCACAGTTTGACTTCTGAAAAAACCTAGATGCCTTTGTCACTAACAGTTCTCTCTTCGAGAAAGCATTCGATGTTTTTTATGAGCAATATATTAACAGCTTGGTTTATATTAACTGTAGTGAAATGTTTACTAGAAATCTAATCTTTTTGCTGTAACTAAAATTTATGACTTGTTACGGTATAAATAATCAATTGAACTCGTTTTTACAAACTGACTGGATTTCAAGTTTTCTCTAGTTTGTGTATCAATGGATACAATAGATACGATCATGGTAAGATACAATTAAAACTTTTGTTTGAACATGCAAGCCATAAATAAAACACAAACTAAGTAAATAATCAGTTTCAACTTTCTTTTAGTAATTTACTAAAGTGAATGTTTTTACTCTTTATGGCAAAATCATAATGGGTATGGCAATGTCTTTTTCTTATTTGAGAATTATACGAAGGAGAGTAGAATATCTGTGGGTTTGAATTAGCTTGCAGCATTAGATATTGTCTAGTGGCAGATATCTGCTCTACAATTAATGTGAACTATATTTGTGAAGAGAAAGTTAATCTGATGCAGAGTTTTTGCGCTCCATTGCTTGAGCTACCAATAATCCTAACTAACCATAAGACCCAGTGTACGTCACAGCATACCAAGATAATTGGTTTCGGTCGAAACCGCCCATATGAGATGACTTGTTGGCGTGTTTCTCACATGATCCGTTCAATGTCCCGCAGGAACTTAACGGAAAAAAACTAGAAGCATCGAAGCATTATTCTAGAACAGGAAGCCACCGTATCTGGAACGGTGATTGTTTTGCAACGTTTCAAAACGAGAAATGGATAGAAACTTCACATGGTTTCCCCAGAAAACCTAGAAAAAATGCAAGAAACTCAGTGGAATAACAAAGAACTTGACTAGAAGTCCCTTGGAGCTCATTGTTTTTATCCGTTCATTTCGTTATAAATCGCATGACAGAAGTCATCATAACTTGAACGAAAAATGGTCACTTATAGGAAGTTTGACTGAGCTTGAGCTCTATATAAAACAAAAATGGTTTTTGACTCTTGCGAATAGTCTCATGAGATTGAAACACTTACAAAACTGAGAAGATTTTGTTTTCTGCAAAGTAATCCATTGTTTCCAATTTCCGGTCACTTTTCATAGGAAACAATATACACACTTCAAAAGAAGATCCTGTGTTGGATAAAGGATAAAGAACGATGACTTCTAACAATTTTTCAAGACAAATATCTGATTTAGGTAGCATATCATTTTCAACTAATAAAATGAGTATAAGATGCGTCAAAAGCATCATTTTACACTCACTTTTGATGAGAAACATGATTATTAGACTAGAATACGTATGTGTTTCTGGAAAAGGACAGAAATCATAGTTTTTGGATGAATTCTTTTGTGTTTCATATTTCTTGGTTCAAACACTTCTATTTAGACTTATTTATCGTTGCAATTGATTTGAATACTTTCTTATTATGTTTTTACTGATATTTGATGCTGTTCTTTCCTGCAACGAACACTGAATGTAATTAAATAATGATGGCTGCTTTATAGATTAGTCTTCGAATTTCTCGCTAGTACCTAACAATATCCAACAATTCAGAACTCTATCACAAGAAGCTAATCTTGTAATCGCATTCATTTTCGGTTTTTGTCTCCACGACAGGGTCAAACAGAAAGCGATCCGCCACGTATCCTTAGTCTAGAATCGAGTCGAAAATGATAAATGTACATGGATCTAGTTTTCAAGCGCAGCAAATGACGCGAATCGAGTGGAAAACGGAAACTAGAACCAATCTTTGGATATAACAGTCAGAAATTCCGCACATCAGGCAGTTTTCCACCTTAACTTTCTTACTCGGGTAATCAGCATGTGGGGTGTGGGTCGCTGTGGATGTTGTTCTTTTTTGACTCACAGACCCACACTCATCCACACTCTTGATTATAAAATTGCAGATCAGACACTTTCAAGAATGGACTAAAGATTCAGATTGTGGGACCCCGATTTACTTTTTCTAACTTTTAAACAATGTTGTTATTTTCTCGAAAAACTCTTCCCCTGACCCTTAAACCCAAACTCACGACTTTGAAAACCGATAACAGATCTGGATTCTCTAACCCAATTAACATCGGTGAAACCTTGCAAGTTACGACTGTACTAGTGGACATATAATTCGACCCATCCCTACAAACATACAAACACACACATCAATATACGCATTTTATTTCATATGAGCCTACGTTCAGTCGAGGGAAAAACATAGTCTACACAACTTTTGTGTCTATTAAGTTTTAAGTTGTTCTAGAAAAGATCATACGCAGGCCAAACAGCCACGCCGGAAACGACGGTATCCATTACTCCTTTCAACTCAGATGCAAAACTATCGCCGCCGGGCCTAGTGTTGACTGTGAACGCATACGACAGACCATCATTTCTTCTGACCAAGAACGAAATTGTTCCAGGTATAGCACCACTCTGACCTTTGTACGAATTACCCAGAACCCATCCTTTGCCGTACCCGGGGTTTGCTGAAGAGCCCGTCCACATCGTGTTGATTGTGCTGCTGCTCAAAATATCTGTCTTGAAGTTAAATCCATCTACTTTCGCCATGATACCTACAAGGTCGATTGGACGTGCAATCCATCCATCGCTGGCATCCGTGCGACGAACATGGAGACTGTACGCATTGTTTGGGTAGTATGTTACTTCACCAGACTTTTTCTGGACAAATGTGTCTCCACCGATAAGCATCCTGCTCGTTTGTGGAGCGTACTTGAAAATGTTATTGCGAAGGAAAAGCTCATAAGTTTGTCTAGAAACCTTCTCAATGATTCGTCCAAGCAGAAGGTACCCAAAATTAAGATACTCGTATGTGGATCCAGGAGCGTTCTTTGGAGTTCGATTGTCAAGAACCCAACTGATTAAGTCTTTCTGGCTTAGTTGATAGTTCATAAACACTGGATCACCGCCATCGTTTGAAAAGCCGCTGGTATGCTCGAGAAGGTGCTGAACAGTGATAGACAGGACTCGCTGGCCATAGGGTTTGGTTCCATATGTTGTTCCGAGAAGGGCAGATGGACCAAACACTTTTGAGCTGATTGAAAATTTGCCTTGCTCGATAAGCTTCATGATGGCGATAGAAGTCATGGATTTCGAGACACTAGCGATTCTAAACAGATGGTTGGGATGGACTTTCTCACCAGCTGCTGTATCAGCGTACCCGAAACCCTTAGCAAAGACGAGACGTTCTTGCTTGGTGATTGCAATGGATATACCAGGAATTGAATACTTGTTTATATAGGCCTGAATCTTGCTGTTGATCAGGGAAAGATCGTTTCCGCTCATGTTAGGATTCTCCCAGATGGCGGCGTAGAGGTCGCCGTTGTTTATGGTGTAACCACTGATAACTTTCAGACGATAACCTTGATAGTACTGGTTTGTAAACTCACCTTGATAAGCATTGCTAGTCATTGCGTGGCGAGCAATCCATGGTTTACTTGCCCTTTTCTCGAAAATAGCAGCGTAATAATCAACATTGCTGACTCCGTACCCGCAAACAAGGACAAGAACGTATCCTAGACTGGTTTGCTTATTGAACTCGGCCTGGTACTGCAAGGCGTTGAGTCCGTGTCGCGCAATCCAGGCCGGACTGCTGGCGGGTTTTTCAAAAATGGCAGCATAGCGTGCTTCACTTCCGATAGCGTATCCGCTGACGTGTTTGAGCCTGAATCCATTCGAAGTCCAGCTGTTGAATTCGCTTTGATACCGATCAGAGGTCATTCCATGTCTGGCTACCCAAGGAGCTACGCCACCAACTGGCTTGTCCCAGATGGCCACGTATTTGTCGATGCCATTGGGTGCGGTGTATCCGTTAACTAGAACCAGACGATAACCTTGTGCACCTGCATTGTTAAACGCCTGTTGGTACTGGACACTGGTCATTCCGTGGCGACAAATTTGGGGTGATCCGATAGATTTTTCAAAGTAGGCTGCGAAACGTTCTTCGTTGTTGACAACATAACCACTGATGTAAAGGAGGCGATAGGAGTGACTAGTAAGAGTGGTAAACAGATTTTGATATTCTGCGGATGTCAAACGGTGTCTGGCGACGAAGGGTGGATTGTTGACAGCTGTAGATATGTTGATGATGGTCATCAAAAAACATGAAGAAATAAGCCACGGCAGCCGAGATTTCCAAAGAGACATTTGATGCAACGTTGATTCTTTGCAAGAGAACCAGAGAAATATTGGCAGAAAAAGACGGAACTGAGTCAAATTTTTTTTCGTATCGAGCTTGATTGTATTGCTGGAGAATGCACCTGTAATGGCGATGAGAAAGAGAAGACTTTACAGTGAAAGTTTTGCAATGTTCTCCAAAACACAGCTGACGCTGCCATCGTGTCGCTATCGCGACATTATTGTTAAAGCACATCTCAGGTTGTTGCCGTCCTCGCACTACCACAGAGCAATGTTGCGATGAATATATCTGATTTAAGATTGACAGCAGAAACAAGGACATAGCTAATCTCGAATTATTATTAGTTTTCACTGAGTTTCTGTTTTTTGATTTTTCAAAAAAGAAGAACCTTTTAAAATGATTTGAAAAACAGCAGTGAGAAATTTAGTTNAGTGTAGTGTTGGTTGTTTTATATGTATTCAAAAACCTGTGCAATTGGAAAACTAAGATTCTTCCAAACAGACTCGTAATCAGTAAAGACTTTTATAGAAATAGCAAATAAAAATATCTGATTTACAGATCTTAAATCATGTCAAAATAATAAACGTGAAAATATATTGCATAAAAACTGACCGGGACCAATGTGAAAAATTTTTAGTTCCGGTCCCGGTCCCGTAAAAAAGTCAAATTTTGGTCCCGGTCTCGGTCCCGCCGGGACCGGGACCACTTTGCAGTTCCCTAGTCATATGTTTTTACTGAAGAAATACGTACCGATAAAAATGAGTAATAAGAATAACTCAGAAACAAAACAAATTATTTTGAGTAATTGTATGACGCTGAAAAAAGTCAAATATTCTTTTTCTTTTGTGTGGCAACGAAATTATTTAAATGATTCGTTCTTCCGACAGTATATATTCATTATGTGATCATTGAAACAAAGTGCATCGATCTAGATAATATTATTCAGACATTTTTGAGAATTAGTTTTAGATTAATTTACTTTCATTTGCTATTATTTTATAGAAAGATATGAACTTTGCTGAGCGCGCTACTTCAGAAGATATAGCACAAAATTATGAGATAGCTGCACAAGTCTATATGGTCGCTGCAGATTGTTTTATGAATTCGATAAAATGTGACTAATGATAGCAAATTTTCTAGGAATTGAAACTCTGATGTATGTGTTTTATTAGATGGAGCTATGAACGAACCAACAAAGCGAAAGATACGTACAAAAATTAAGACGTATATCCGACGAGCAGAAGACATTAAGAATATGAACGCCAATAAGCCAAAGAAGAATCTAGCTGTGACCAGTGATGATAATGGTCAAGGAAGTTCAAAACGTACTAAAATTAGTGACGATGATAATGCAGATGTAGATAGAAAACGTACGATGCAAAAATTTGAAGGTTGGTTTTATCATATTTATCTTTCTAACGTAAACATTATACTTTTCTCTTTTAATTTAGGAGCTATTGTTACTGATCCAAACGTCACATTTGATGATGTTGTCGGGTTAGAATAAGCTAAAAGGGAGTTGCGAGAAGCAGTCATCTTACCAGTCAAACTTCCAAAACTTTTCGCAGATATATCTTTACATGAAACACCAAAAATCGTTGATCAGTGCTAAACGTACTCTATGTCTCTTCTTTTTTTTTTGATAAACGTAAACCATGGGCAGGTATTTTGCTTCATGGAGCATTTATAAGAATGAATAAATCTTATTTTGTGATCTTTGATTAGTTGTTAGAACGGATAATTCAGGTGTTCTTGTTCTTATTCTTGTTGCAACCAATATTTCTTGGACATTGAATACAGCTATTCGACGACGGTATAATTGATATCAAATATATGTTTCATGTTTATTATTTGAAACTATTTTAGTTTTGAAAAGCGAATCTATTTGCTTCGATCAATTTTGATCATTTAATAATTTTTTTATTTCAAAATAGGTGAAAAATCCAGAACATGATGGCCCAAATGAACTTTGGCTTATGTGCTCACCTGGCGATCCAGCTGCTCAATCACTTACATTAGATAAAATAACCCCTGATGAATTATGTGAACCTCCAGTAATCATGGTTAGTTATTAGAAAAACTTATTAATTGAATCAGAAATTGAGATATATAATTTCTTTTTAGTCGGATATGTTAACTGCACTTGCTACACAAAAATCAACAGTAGATAAAAATGAGTTGGGAATATATTAAATATTTAGTCAAGAATTTGGCCAAGAAGGTTCATAAAGAAAATAAACGAAAATTTCTACGAATTAGCATTTTTGTACAAAAAGCATTCCAATGAGCAGTGACATTCGCTCTTGTCTTACATTATATCGATCACGATATTTTTTTGTTGATATTGTTTTTTACATAAATTCATATGAACTCTGACATATTTGATATTTTTTTCATAAAAAAACAAAATTAGTAATTATTGTATCAATATTGTATTTTACATGGGAATTTTTGAGCATGAAGAAAATCTTTGGTTTCAAGCATTTCAATTAATTTTCTCGTTTCTATGAAAGTAAATGTTGTTTACTAGCAGTTTTAAATGATTCATCTAATATTATCGTTCTGGAATATTCACTAGTACTCTGTCTATTGATTTTATTTTAGTTTTTATATTCATCCACGAAATCAACTTGTCCAAAATCAAGGCTGTTACATTTTTCACATATTTGTTTTCAGTTATTTCGAAAATTGTGAGAACTAGAAAGTTCGTGCATACATCATTTGATGCAGTTTATCATATTCTATAAAAATGAAGTTTTTTGGTTGAAGTCTTGAGCATCTAGAAAGGTTGTGTCGGCGCGTAACGCTGTTACATAAAAAGGCCCTACATTTGGAGTGATCTTGCTTGAGTTGTAATTTCCTATGAAAGTTAGTCTCCAAATTAAATACTCCTAGAACAAATGATGTGGGCGAACATGAACTTAATTATATAATTGGCTTTAGCAAAACGCATGCTTTTAATTATATCAATGATCATGATAAGAAGAAATGTGCTAATATATAATGATCAGTGTTGAATTAATTTAAATATATTCAAACGTATCAATATACGACAGAAGAATATGTGCATAAAGCCGTACAAATAAAAGAACTTTCGATGAAATAGGATGAAAAACAGAATTTTATCTTACTTTTCTTTAGCACAGTCACTTGTTTGTTTAAACATTACATATTTACAAGCTGGACAGACACGAATAGAAGAAAAAAACCAAACCGATGATACCAACTACTTATAAAAATCATGCATTATAGTATCTATTTTTACTTCTTTCTCTTGATTTTTCATATTTGTCATAGTTGCATTTCGAAGAAACGTTCATACAAAGCTGAAATCATTGTCCATTAAAATTTTGCTTCCTATTATGTTTTTCATTGATAATGCACGTTTGTATTACGCAAGACCTTTTCTCATTGGTAATGTAAAAGCATGTTAAAATTAATCAAATGATTCTTCAATGAATAAACAAACAAAATTTGAAATATTATCTATTTTTGAGTCATAAAAGTCAACAGTGAGAATACTAACAAGACAAATGAAAATTTGTATTTTTAAACATATTTCTAACGAATAATCACGAAGACATTGATCTCAAATATGGATTCGAATGTAAATTAAACTTTCTTATTTACATTTGGATTCGAAGAGTCAAAAGAAAAAAAAATTCTTTTTCATCGATACAATTTTCATTTAAGTAATGGCTATGCCTTATCGAAATTAGAATAGAACTTTTTTAATTACATGATTCAACTAAATTTCCACAATACAATTAGATGCTGCTTTTGGAATATGGTAATACGTCATCGGTAAGAAATTTGCGTGACTTTCTGTATAAAAACAAAAGACTGATGGAAAAAATTTTAAATTGGTCATGCATTTAGCTCTCAATTTCAATAGAATAGAAAGAGAGAGCATGAAGTTTTCCATATTTCTGTCTATTTCTTTTCCTACAAAATGATATAGCAGTTATATTCATCACGATTGGTTTATATAGAGTAGAAACATTCTGTTTCCGTGATCAAAAATTGTGTCTTCTCCCTTGCTTAACAAATCTTTCTCATTTTCAGAAAAAACATCTTTTCTGTCGTAACAGGCTCATTTATATGTGTATCTCGTAATTGTGAGATCAAGATAAGGTAGCAGAATGATTCATTATGGTGTATACATCTCAGCCAAAAATGGAAATTTGCCTTTGACGAAACAAATCAATGTTTCTATTCTGGAGGTGCATTCATCGTAAGGAGAACTTATTTATTTATTTGATTTTGAAGTTAACATGACATCACGATTCATTAGGGAAATGATCGATATCAACTTTAATAATAATTACTTGCTCATAATAAAATATTTTTCGTCTGATTAAAAACGCAATCGACATTAATTGAGTTTATCATATAGTTCAATAAATAAAAATAAACATAATGCATCAAAAAGCCGTAATAACTTGTTCTATTTACTCATAATTTACTAAACCAAATCCCACTTCGTTGGATTGTTACTTATAATCATTGTCTTCAATCAACATAATCACCACAGTGATAAAAACGTTGGCACATCACCGGTTTTAAAATTTTTTTCATTGATTCTAAATTACCATCGAGTTTTCAACTTTTTAAATTTAATTATGATTTCATGATTTTTTTTTTTTATGTCACTGATCAGAAATGAAAACTTCTTTTGCCTCAAACCGCTAGAATCTAATCAATCATTTCTCAAGGAAAATTTTTTTGTGATAAAAGAACAAATTTTTTTTTCAATTTCAGACAGGGGAAAAGTTCATTTACTAGAAAAATTTATTTTTCTATGCATCAATTTTTTGCTGACTGTTAATAAATAGAACAGTGTTCCTAAAAAAAACAGTCAAGCTATTTTTGAAAATTATATATCTCAGTCATTATAAGTTAAAATAAGATTTACGAGATGCACAAAGTCCTGACTCAAAATCTCTCTGAAGATATGATATACTTTTTATCGATTATTTTTATTCGGCTAGAAACCTAATCGGAATTAAAGATTATAGTTAAATAATTTAGTGTTTTAAGCGAATTATCATATCAATCAGAACATAATTCAAGAGAGATAACTCAAAAGAAGTGCTAATTGTTAACTGAATAAATCGAAAAACAAGTATGGAAAGTTTTTTTGAGATGTGATACGAAAAACTCTATCTAGATCCCATCCGACAGGTTGTATTTAAGAGAGAATTACACCAGTAGACTTCTTGTACCTTTTATTATCTACCGATCAATTGATTTGCAACCAAGAACGTGAATTAAAGATTATTATCTCAAATACCCGAACATCGAAAATCTCTATGGCACCTATTAAAAATTATTGAAATTTAATAGCAACATGTCTCAATATATATCTATCAAAATTTCATTGCATAAAAAATTTCAAGTAGACTGAATGATACCATTTCACAAGAAAAAGAAATAGTTTCTATGACAATGATGACTTTGACATTAGGGTAGAGATGTTCGAGCAAAAATATCGACTACTTTATTTGTTCATATATATGGCGAATAAGAAATTCTTTATAGATCAAAAATAAAAATTTTGTTTTTTCATTAAACAATCGTTCTTGTTCAAGTATTTTTATTATTTCTCTCGTTGTATTATCTGTTTTCTTTTTCTTGATGTGCCAAAAAAAATGCGGATTGAACAATGCAAAAAAAAAAAGAGAAGATATTGATGACAAAATTGACACATAAAAACGATGATGAATATTCAAAAACGATAACAAATTATTATTTTTTGTTTTTGTTTTGTTTAACCGAATATATCAAGACCACCCATATCATCATCATCTGATTCGGGTTCAGGTTTTTTCTCCGGTTTTGCTGCTTCTGGTTTAGCACTGGGAGCTGGAGCAGCAGTTGTTGGTGCTGGTGCTGATGCGGCAGCGAATTTTGATGGATCTTTTAAAAATTCTTTCAACTAAAAAAAAATTTTTAAAAATTATTATAAAATAAAATGATAAACACAAATAGAAAATATGTTTAAGAAAACAAAAGAAACTCAACGGACTTCAGAACGCTGTTGGATATGGTTGTATTCATCAGTTGCTTTATTCAGAAGCAGAACTGGATAAAATATTCATCATTTGTCCGTTTTCTCAAGGGTAGGATCGAACCACGGTTTACTATCGTATTAGACTATTAAACTATATTTCAACTTACAGTTTTAGCTTGTTCGAATTCAACATCAGTATCAGCAGCTAATGCAAGTAAACGTTTAAATCCATTAAGTATAAGATGAGGTGCTGATGCTTGATTTGGATAATTGATACCAAGTGAAAATGCTGCTAAACGTTGAACACCTTGTGAAAATTTTGTACGTAAATCAGCTGGTTTAATATCAAGAATAGCGGGTTCAAAACATGAACCAGAATCATAAACTATAATTTTCAAAAAAGTTAAAAAATTCAATAAATTAATACAAGACAAAAAAAAAATTTTTACCTTGACGGATAATAAGACCATAACTGAAAGGTGAAATATTTAACATATTAAGTAATGTTGCTTCACTAGCACCGACTTTTTCACCGATTTTTATTAAATGTACGTCATTCTATAAACAAAAAATTTTTTGTATTTATATGTATTTTCTTCATTATATATAATATCAAAGATGTTGTTAGCGCAATTCCTGCGAACTCACAAGGGAACATTCCCAGGTGAAGGAGTGCTTTTCAGCCGGGGTTTCGCGCATCTTGTAGCCCATAGTGAGCTATGTCTATGGTAAAAAAAGTTCGGGTTTCTGGCTTGTTTCTGAGGAGATATCGAGCTTCTAGTGAATTTTCTCTATAGTACG